CTGACCTTTTCTCTAGTTCCTGATCCCCTTCTCCTATTGGCCTCTGTCGCCTTAAAGTTTCTGCATTAGTTTCTCTGCATTGAGGGCAACAAATGCTATATTGTTTTTTGGGTGTCTTACCTATCCTCATACCTCCCTTGTGTGCTCTCAGTTTATCATGTGATCAAAGTCCAGTCCCCTTGTTGTGTTTGCCCTTGATCTAAAGTCCAGATATGAGGGAGAACATATGGTTTTTGGTCTTTTGAGCCAGGCTAACCTCACTAAGAATGATGTTCTCCAATTCCATCCATTTACCAGCGAATGATAACATTTCGTTCTTCTTCACCCACAACAGATTCTAATGAGTTAAGTGAATCAAATCCCATACCAAAAAATTTAAAAGAATTATAAGAATGATCAAGCTGGTCCTGATGGATCACTCCTGTAATCCTAGCTACTATAGAGGCTAAGAATGAATCATGGCTCAAGGCCAGACTGGGCAAAAAAATAATGAGATGCCATTTCAACCAATAAAAAGCTGGGTATGGTGTTGCATGCCTTTCTTGCCAGCTATGCAGGAACTGGAAATAGGAGCAACTTGGTCCAGATAGCTCTGAATTCAAACTCCAGTACTGCAAAGAAAGAAGAAGAAGTATCAACAGAATTAATAGAGGGCACTTACAAATGTGTAAATGAGTTCATTCAAAGTGAATATAAATAAAAAGTATGAACAAAACATAATAGACCTCTGGGACATGAGCAAAACATCAAACCCAATAGTCACAGGCATAGTAGAAGGAGCAGAGGTACAAGGTGAAGGCATAGAAAACATATTCAACAAAATAAATAGCAAAAGAATTTCCAAGGTCTTTGGAAAGCACAGGAGGTATTTAGAATATCAAACAGACGAGTAAAACAACCTCCATGAGAATTCGGGAATGAATAAACCTCACTAAAAGAGTAGATAAGCAAGTGAGGATTTAAGAAAGAATCAAACACTACAAAATGACATGCATCAGTACCTTTTAATAATACTTTTCGATAACTCTTAACGTTAATGGTCTCAGTTCTCCAAATAAAAAACACAGGGTGGCAGCTTAGATTTAAAAATAAGACCCAATATTATAGGTTAAACATTAAGTATTCAAGACCAGGAAAGAATATTGAAAGTTGCCAGAGAAAACCAGCAATTAAATACAAGGGCAGGCCCATCAGAACAGCAGCAGATTCTCAACAGAAACTCTAAAGCAAGGAGGACATGGAATGATATATTTCAAGCCCTATAAGAAAATAATTGTCAACCTGGGTTACTGTATCCAGCAAAGCTATCCTGTAGAGTTGAAGGGAAAATAAAAACTTTGCATGATTAATAAAAGTGAAAGGAATCTATGACCACTAAGACAGTACTGCAGAAGATCCTTAAAGGAACCCAACCGACAAAAAGAAGATAAATACAATAAGATTATGGGAAAGAATAAGCCTTACCAGAAGAGTAATGAGATTTATGAAAAAAATCAAACATTATAAAAACAGCAAAGTGATGGGAATTAGCATATATCTTTCCATAATAACTCTGAATGTTAATGGTCTCCGTTCTCTAGTCAGAATGGCTGGCATCAAGAAAACAAAACATGCTGACAAGAATACAAGAGAAAAGGAACTCTTCAGTACTATTAGTGAGGATGTAAATTAGCTCAGTCACTATAAAAATCAGTGTAGAAGTTCCTCAAAAAAATAAAAGTGGGATTAGCAGCCATATGATTCTGCTATACCACCCTTGGACATATGCTCAAGTCAGTGTACATACAAGAGATACCCACATACACATTTATTACAGCACTATTCAAAATAGCCAAGTTGTGAAATCAGCCTAGTTGCTTAACAGTGGGTGAATGGCTAAAGAATATGTGTGTACATGTATGTGTATACATCTGTATGTGTATATGTGTACAGATATATATACACACACATACAAATATGCATATGTGTACATATATTCATGACTTGTATTATTCAGCAATAAAGAAGAATAAAATTATTACTTTTGCAGAAAAATAAATGAAACTGGAAATCATCATGTTAGTTGAAATAAGACTCAGAAAGACAAATATCAC